ATCCAAATTGATCCTATTTCTGTGTTTTTTTACCTCGATATTTAATCATGTCTAGTAAAAATCTGTTTGTATTCTCAAAACAGTGTCGGCCCATACGTTTTCACATGCAATACAGCAATTAATACTCCCTTGTTGTAACCCGTGTTAGGTGGTATAAACCTACACGTTATTTGTCATCATTCACTTGATGGTCAGTTAATGAATTTATAACAGGTATAATTAGTGGTAACACACTTAGATTACCCGACAAAGGTTCCCATTTGGCATTTCTTGTGTCTGGAGTAAATATTCAACATTATAAACATCGATCAAAGGATTAACCGATAACACGCTGATTGATTAATTACTTTTATTTTACACAGCGGATTTGTCAAAAAGTAGTGTTTATGTATGTAGATTTACTAGTCTATACTGAATACACTCTGTCGTGTCGGTGTCTGCGGAAAAACAACGTCCTTCTTTCAAAGGATTAACCGGCAATACATTGATTGATTGCCCATTATTGGCTAACTAAATTACTGTTTTTAAAGAAAGGCGGACATAATGCAATTAGTTGCGAGGTGTGCTATCTTGGGTGACCAATGAGACTATACACCAATGTGAAATACCTGAAAAGATTTATCACTTTTTCGTATATTAAACTGTTAAAAGACACATCATTTGGAACAGCTGCAGATGATTGGCATATCACTCGTTTTGTTGGATATTAATGGATACATTCCTCGAACAAGGTAATAGCCTGACATTGTTCCTATAACTTTAATCTGTTTTAATTTTAATATTTGCATTTTGTTTTTATTCATTTGTCGTAGCATTCAACAGAATCATTGTTTTCGCCTTGAAGTGTAATGAGACAGACAACATACACTTGGGTGTGTGTGCGAATTATGATTCACATTGGCAAACTATAAACTGAACATAGAGATTTTTTCTGGGTTACATCTTCTTTTTATTCTCAGAAGTATATGTTCATCAAATATCATCTTCTAAAATGCCAATCAAGCATCTAAACTATAAACTGTCTAGATATTACAGTTCTGTTATAAATTCGCTATAAGTATCAGCAGATTGCCTGTTTTTTATTTAGTTTCAAAATGCATACAAGTATGATAATAAACTAACAAGAAGACAAAGTCATCAATATCCCCCGCAATGGCAAAATACTCTTCATGATTATGTCTACAAGTTATGATTATGTCAAATATTTAGGTGTGTATATAGAAATATTTAGGTGTGTATATAGAAAAGTGGAAGGAGAGTATTGAAAGGTTTTTAAAGTACTGCTCCAGAAAGCAGCACTATCACCAATTTCAGTCAAACTTGTTGCCATGGAAATACCAAAAATATTTTATTCAGAATTCCCAAACTACCAAAAGGCACCAGTACACCACCAGACCAATCTATGTGCCAAGTTTGGTGAAGAAACATTGAACGGTTTTAGAGTTCTGCTCCGGAAAAGAGCACTACTACAATTTCAGGCTAAGTCAAACTTGTTGCCATGGAAACGCCAAAAATATTTTATTCAGAATTCCCAAACTACCAAAAGGCACCAGTACACCACCAGATCTATCTATGTGCCAAGTTTGGTAAGAAATAGTGAACAGTTTTAGAGTTCTGCTCCGGAAAAGAGCACTACCACTAATTTCAGTCTAAGTCGAACTTGTTGCCATGGAAACGCCAAAAATATTTTATTCAGAATTCCCAAACTACCAAAAGGCACCAGTACACCACCAGATCTATCCATGTACCAAGTTTTGTGAAGAAATATTGAACGGTTTTAGAGTTCTGCTCCGGAAAAGAGCACTACCACTAATTTCAGTCAAAGTCGAACTTGTTGCCATGGAAACGCCAAAAATATTGAATTCAGAATTCCAAAACTACCAAATGGCACCAGTACACCACCAGATCCATGTATGTGCCAAGTTTGGTGGAGAAATATTGAACGGTTTTAGAGTTCTGCTCCAGAAAAGACAAATGTGCACGGACGGACGGACGGACGCACACACGGACGGAGTCCATTTTAATACCCCCCGCAAAACACGTTGAGGGGGATAATTAGGATTATAATACCAAATATAATGACGTACATTGACTAGTATCTACATACTGGTGAGTGGACGTTTAACCACGTGAATGTAGCAAGAAATTTATCGCGCAATATTGTGACTTCGACCCCCACCTCGCTTCCGTGGAAGAAATTGTTATGTTATAAGTTGTGTCATGCAAAATCCTTTTGGTTATGATTCAAATACATATTTAACTACGAGTAGAAAGTAGTTTTGATTTTCTAACTTGATGAAAACAAACCATAATCTCATTAATTCTAACAGACTTTAGCCCGTCACTTTACGATTTTCAAAAATTGCGGCGCCCTGTCGCAAACATACGCCAGTCTGAGGATAAATGCTATTTAGGTTTGTTTTCACCGAGTTACAAAATCAAAACTACTTTCTACTGGTAGTAAAATATGTATTTGATTGATGGCCAATAGGATTTTGCTTATAACATAACAATTTCTCTCGTGGCAGCGAGGTGGGTGTCAATATACTACTATTTACAGTATGCTTGATTGGCATTTTAGAAGATGATATTTGATGAACATAGAGATTTTTTCTGGGTTACATCTTCTTTTTATTCTTGAGTACAACGTTTCAGGGCTTGTTCTGGCCCCATCATCAGGTAAAACTGAACAGTAACTGTTAACTCTGGCCGTGACGTCACAATGCTATGACGACGCAATACATGTGGTGGTCAATAGATACAGATGACATGGCTAATAGAATACATGTTATTATGAATATATAAGATGTCGTTTACTGCAAAATTAATGGATCAATTTAGAACTGTGCAGATACTTATACAAAATTGTTGATTGATTTATTTAGAAATGTACAGAGACATTAAATTCTTACAGTATTATTGTTACTTCGACCACAACCTCACTTCCGAGGAAGAAATCGTTATGTTACAAGTTGTGTCATGGAAAATCTTTATGGTCATCAATCATATACATATTTTACTACAACTAGTAAGTAGTTTTGATTCTTTAACTTCCGTGAAGCGATCTGAACACAAGTAAGATATCGTTTCAGGCTTCCACAACGCTCGCTTCGCACTCACAAACATAACCCATTTAGCACGAACTGCGGGGTCCTGTGGAAATCTGTGCATGGTGACACCATCGCCCGACCCCTAGGAGCAATTGACGACAAAGCAACGATTCGGCATGTCGTCATTGATGTCAAGAAATCATCGAAATGATGAGCGTGCTACACCCTTTCTATACAACTAACTGAAAATCGTTCCTCATATGACGTCACTGCAGTGCTCTGGCGACAGAGTTACGTAACCTGTCTGTGGTTTCGTTGGCGGGTGGGAGTGAAGAAGGCGACTTTTTGGCAACTTTTAATCGCTCGGTATTAATTGACCACAAGTTTTTTAAGAATGAATTTGGTGTTCGGCATAAGTCTAACCACAACTCTTTCATATGTAATAGTTGAAAGAGTAAAAAAACCACACGTTTTTTTGTTCTTTAAGTAACTAAGAATGTTGTAGTCTGTGACAAAATGGCATTCAAGTCGGGGTCTGTTTCACACAAGTGATTAGCTTTACGTTTGAGAATTGCTTTTTCATTTTGTTAAAACTGTATGATTCACCACGACATTTCAACAACACGGAAAATGCACCACTGATTTAATGTCAGAAACATTGTTATTTTTGGAAGTGATTTATATTTTATATTCGAATTTTCATAATTGTTATGTCACTAAATCTAGACCAAAATTTATGAAATTCTTCCTCCGCAGAAGGAAAGAGTGCAAAGGCAAGCATTTAAAAATACATGATTGGGTGAAGAGATGAACTACAGACAAAATCCTTTTGGGCATGTTACTAGAGCTGTGACAATATATCGTAGTATCCATAATCATGATACTTTATCTGACGATAAATATATTGATACATTTTTTCGTATAGTGATATGCATTGTTGACCTTAAAATTGTTAATTTTCAGTAGATATTGACAGTTATGTCAAAATTTCTTGCTATTAAAATATGATTTTTTAAAGAAATTAAACCAAAGAAAGCATATCATGATATCCATCGAATAGAATCGTATCGTTCCAATATATCGCGATACATATCGTATCGTGAAATTTCTGTATCGTCACACCTCTACATGTTACCAGGTTTGAGTTTCATCAAGAGCGTGTCATGATATAACATAAATAAGACAAATAACCAAATGATATTTTCTGTAACATAACATTTACACCTCTTAATGAAGCAAAGTTACCTATTTGTGGTGGGTCATTTATTTGTTTTTCAACACAGCCCTTGGAGAAATTCCAGCTATATGACGGTCTGTAAATAATTGAATCTAAGCCGGGTAATCAAGTGATTGACACAAGGATCAATCTGCAAGATTTACAATAAGCATGGGTTGTGCAATATCAGTTCTAACCTGGACCTTCACAAGTTTTGCGTGTGTGTGTTGTTGCTTTTTAACGTTTAAGTTATAAAACACATCCCTTGTAGCAATCATTAATCAAATGAATGTAGATGTTTACAACTGTGGCGATTTATGGGGTCCCCGGTCCACACATAAACATTACTGGTATCAATATCTTGCTTTGCGAACATAACTTCATTATCATTGAAACTGGAGGAAAGTGGGATAACCTTTCTGGTTTAGGTGTGTGATATATGGCTACTTTAGAAATGACTAGTAGGAGTGCAATTGTAACATAGCAAATCTTCAAATTGTTGCAATTCCTGGTGGATGTGACTTGTATTTACGTCCATACCTTAATTTGAATACAATTCTATGTGAATACAATATATCTTTTATTACAAATTTCGGAGACACTGGTTTAACACTGGCGTAACTCTGCGTACTGTTTACAATTGTTGAGTAAAAAATAATATCACTGATGCAGCGACAAGATATCACATGATGATTCGAATCACAAGGCCAAGGGGGAGTGGTCAAAAACAGTACCTAATGATGTTGATCAGTGTCCGCTTGACAAGGATACACGTGCAACGATGTCGTGAAAAGCATCGATTCGGAGCAAATTTCAAATGGCAGAAAGACAAGGTTGGCGTTACTAAACTTGTATTCTCGACACAAAAGAGTTGTTAGGATGGAAAGTTCTTCTCAGCTTCCCGTTTTCGCAGGAGCTGCCATGTTGGGTTGATTACTTCCGCTAAGCACTTCCTTGAACTCATGTTAACACGTGCTACATCAGTTTGCCTTCATTATAATCTCATTGCGAGTTACAATGTCGCTGAAGGGAGTTCGCGACAAAATTGACTGGTTCCTCGTTGGGGTGCTTTGTTTTCTGGCCGCATAGGTGTCCAAACCCCCAAAATATACGATATATATTGTAGTTGTGCTGATCAGGGAATCCATTTATTCGTATTACAGACTTTCTGTCTCAAAACTGAAACGACGAAAAAAAAACCGAGAGAATATATACCATTTTGTTGTTTCCCTCTTGTGAACATAAGAGTTCATTACCTTTTTTTACCAGCCATCCATGATGGGATCGATAGCATAAGAATTAGTTCAGAGGATATTTGTCAAGACACAATACCATAACATTCTTTATTGCCAGAACCAGATGACGTGTGCGGAGCTAACATAGCCTTGCACTGTTTTGACTTGTATCCTGTCCTTTGCCTCCTCGATGATGGCACTTAAACTACGTTGATCAGCGCAAGAGCTGTAGCGTAGGTAAACCTGTCTGTTCACTCTTCCGTGCATAGGCCGTCAACCGAGTCCACCAAATAAACTGGTTTCCGGCTTCATATGCGCGTTTAATATTTTGATATGAAGAGACGGGGCCCATTCTTGTTCGTCAAGCTCCCCACGGCGACCAAACTAGGTCATGCTTTCTGGTGCGAATTACTGACTTGAAGCGACTTAATTCCTTTTCACATGGCAGTATCAGTTAAGACATAACTGATATAAACCCATAATAATTATTGTGACTGCTTTTTCGTGTCCACGAGCTTTAGCTATAACTGTTCAGGGCAAAACTATACTTCACATGCACCACACATGGGGTTTGAGCAATTTAGTTCTTGAAACTGTCATTGGACCCCAAATCCTAGTCTGTCATACAGACCCTGAAACACATACATGTATATCCAAGAAAGCCCAAGCAAGTCTAGATTTCCACAGTTTCTGAAAATTAAGAGTCTCAGGGCTCCTTTTCAGTATGTTTTATTGTTTTTATTATGAACTTTTTTTCTGTAAAATATGTTCATTTCAGGGATTAGCTGTTAGTCTACCCAAATCCCAGACAATAGTTCAGTTATTAAACAACAAAACCACGTGTAAGATACTTATTCACCTTTTCAGATTTATTTCATGCCTTTGGGCACTTAAAAGCGCACCCTAGCGTTATCCCTTAATTTTAGACATTTTAAAACTTTGCAACGATCAGCATCTTTCCATTTTCCAATGTAGCATGGCTGTTTGCTGGCTGCCAAGTCATTTACGCATAGCAAATAACACAAAAGCCGATGCTGCAACTAAAGCCGGTCTTGACAAACCGTTATCGCCACTACTTATCCAAATATACAAGCCAGTAATTGGTCATACCTACATGGGTTGTCAGCCAAGACACGATGAGGTCATTTTGTGAAGATCCTGTATTGGGCACACTGTGACAATCGACTTACCCACATACATCTGCTTACAACACATGAGGACGAGCCTCCTGTTGTGTAAGCGTATCTGTTGTGGTGGGTTAACATAATTTGCTTGACTGTGTGGAATTTGCAGTTGCAAGGGATTTACATGATCAAGTATTAAAAGTCACCATAAGCTACTTAAAAGAAATTGATCTGTATCATAAATTGTACACGTTGTGTGTATATAAATAATTGCTTTTGGGTTCAAACCAAATCGTTTAAATTTAATATTAAACAGATGTACGTCTTGTCAAATTAAGACACAAGATCAAAATCTACATGTCTGATCTATTCTATGTATTGTGTATATTGTAAAACAGATTTCATTCCCTCAAAAGCGTTTATTATTAGGATTTGGCAAAGGAGTGTTTTCATAATTATGTTTGGTGAAACTGGTGATGATAATAAATAAGTAACTAGACATAATCACTGAAATGAAGCAGGGAAAATTATACTTGTTTCTGAAAGCATATACTTGGGTATAATTCCTTGTGTTTATATTGTACAATGAACTTTTATACGAAATAATAATGTACTAGAAAGAGTGAGTGAGTGAATTTAGTTTTACGCCGCACTCGGCAATATTCCAGCTATTCCAGCGGTCTGTAAATAATCGAGTCTGGACCAGACAATCCAGTGATCAATAGCATGAGCATCTATCTACGCAATAGGGATACGATGACATGTGCCAACCAAGTCAGTGAGCCTGATCACCCGATCCCGTTAGTTGCCTCTTACGACAAACATAGGTTATTGAAGATCAATTCTAACCCGGATCTTAACGGGTGTAACAAAGAAGAACCATGTTCATTAGGTTTAATCTTAATTTACAAGACAACAGTAGAGCGTAAATATTGTTCAATTACATATTAGGAATCTTTGATGATCACATGTTGAGTCATTTGCGAAGAGAGACTGTTGAACGATACATAGATCATTTTGGTCACGGAAACATTTTCAATTTAGCATTCCACCGTTGGCAGCATTCAACACTACATCATATTCGTAAATATGGACATTGAGGAGTGTTTGTTTGTACATGGCAGACTTGAGTGGAATTGCACTCATAACTTGGTTTGAAACATTTGCAGTGGTTGGTTTGACACCATTTGGCCCCAGCACAGTTGCATCTCACAAATCCTTGGCCCCCACAAACTGACCCAAGTTGAACTGCTTGACGTAGAGATTGTTGATCTGTGTCGAAGTCACTGACAATATAGAGTTTCGTGACACATATGTCAAATTGGTTACGGGAATACTTCCCATTTAGCACCCCATCCTTGACAGCAATCGTGAACATGGTCATTGCATTCGGTCACTACACCAATGATGTTCCGGGGATCACCTATTCCTCTGTCGAGAAACAGTTACATTGTTACATTGTCTCCGATACAGAAAGATGTTGTGTTTTGATTACAAAGGACTACCAATGAAGTACCCTCATATGTTGTTACACTTGCTTCTGTTTGCTTCTCATTCATACTAAGAAACATTGATCTCTAACCTCATTTGAAAACTCAAGAATATGCTTTCAGTAAACAAGTATAATTTTCCCTGCTTCATTTCAGTGATTATGTCTAGTTACTGAAAATTTCAGTAATTGGACATAACCACTGAGTGAAACAGGCATTATACCTAATCACTGATTATACTTGTTTCCTGTAACATATATACACAGAAACCGGAGCATAACTTCGCGTTGCTTCGCAACAAGAATTTGCTGTGCCTAACAGCAACATATGTTCGTAGTGTTTGTTCATGCTTACACCAAAGAAAATTATGCAAATGTATTCCATATATACTGAACCACAAAAGAAACGTCGCCTTTCAAACCAGATGCAAAATTTTGTTCTTACAAGGTGGTATTCGCACAGAAAAAGGCAGACGTGGTAAAAGGTTCCGTATGACATTCGTGAAAATGAAAATGCACGTGCATGTCGTGACAACCCTACCAATGAAAGCGAGTACCAAACTCGCATGGACTCACTTCTGTTTTGATACAATCAGCATGCTACGACTTACGAGAGATCAGAGGAACCAAGTCTTCGGACGATTGTAAGTTGTCCAGACTGCACGGAGGGTAACCAATCATTTTAATGTTCATGTTAGGACAATCCACCGACTGCAGGAGTGGTATCAGGTCACTAACTGCATTCAAGACCCTTCACGCAGTGGGCGACCTTCAGTAACATCACAACGTCAAGACCGACAGATTGTGCGCAACCATCTTCAGGATCGCTTCCCCAGAGCGACGGAAACAGCACGCCAGACCATTGGGACTCACAACACACCAATCAGTGCCGATTCAGTGCGTCGACGTTTGCGCGGAAGAAACCTCTGCTGTCACAGACCATATCGTAGTCCTGTCCTCACCGCCCATCACCGCCAAAATAAACTGTAATGGGCAACTCAGCATCGAAATTCGCGTTATCGACAATGGAGAACTGTGCTTTTACCTCATGAAAGCCGATATTGTGTTTCGACAGTCTATGGCAAAGTGAGAGCATGGTGAAGGCGTGGGGAACTGTTTTCCAATGAGTGTATTGCTGAAAGAGACTCGTGGGGTGGTCCAAGCATCATGGTGTGGTGTGCAATCGGTCTGAACCAGTTAGTTGACACCGTGGTGTTCTAGAATCTGTGTCCAGGATGAGGAAATGACGTGACAGATGCTCGCTATATTGACCAAGTCATAAGACCCCACGTTGTGCCACTTTTTGGACGTTACAGACATCACATCTTCCAGCAGGACAACGTTCGTGCCCACACTGCCAGTGCAACATTGGACTTCCTAAGACAACATGGCATCCAAACCTTACAATAGCCTGCACTCAGTCCGGATTTAAGTCCAATAGAACACCTTTGGGACGAGATTCAAAGACGACTAAATTACCTCCAACCAAGGTCGACAACTGCGGCTGGACTCGATCAGGCATTTCGCAGAGTATGGACCGAAGTGCCTATATGGCCTTCATCAACCGGCTAATTCATTCAATGTACAGATCGACGATGCAACACTGTCATCGATGCTTATGGAAGCCACACACAATACTGACTTTGGGGTATCTTATTGGTACCATGTTTGGTGATTTTGCTTGTGTGAACTCTAAATGTGATTCCCGAAAATGTATTAACCATAATTCTTAAATTTGAACTCAATCCTCCGTTTTGATTGTTAATTAAAGCAGGGAGACTCTATAAGGGGGAGTGGTCACTCCTCGGAAAGCTCCTAAGCTATGCCTCGGCTCGTCACGTGACCAGTGTAGCCAATATGGCGGCAGCGTGGTTTTTAAGATTGAGCCCGGTTTATTTTCAACAGCTGATTACATACGCTGAGTGTTGTGACAACTGAAAACCTACATGTAGAAGATAAGTTACCTATTCTGTCACTTCATTTCAAGTCAAATAATTGTTATTAGTGTCAGTATAAGTACAGTAGCTTTGTAGTAAAGTTTCAAGTGGGCATGTTGTAGCTCACTGGCTTCAATTCTCAGTACACAGCGAAGAAAGACTAAATTATATCGCTAAAAACTTCTTTCACATATTCGTTTAATTTTTAGAAAGGAAATATACCTTTAGTTGAAAGGTGTTTGCAAGTAATAGTAATAGTTTTATAATTTTAAAAAAATTGTTAGGGTGTATTTGAGGTGTGTGAAAAATATGACATATCGCCGATCTGCCATTGAAATACTGCAGGGCGTTGTTTGAGTGTTTCTAGTTAGTGTTCAAAAACATCTTTCACATACACCTTCAATTTTTATGAGGGGAATATACCATCACGTGAAAGGTGTTTGCAAGTAATAGTGATAGTTTTATCATTTAAAAAAATTGTTAGTGTGTATTTGAGGTGTGTGAAAAATATGACATATCGCCATTGGTGCTTGTGATGCTTGAGTGTTATAGTTCTAAAACTTCTTTCTTTCTTGTTGATCTTAGTATTTGACAAAACTGGAAAGGTGTTTACAGCGCTTTGTGATAGTTCTAAACTTTCTGTTCTTGAGGGGTCTGTGACAGTGTCAGTTAACATTCTGTCAATGCCCATGTCATTCCACACATGCAATAAGATATCTGAATTAGTTACTAATGTAAAAACATGTTTCAAAGTAATTTTTTTTCGAAAATGGACAGCTGATGTTAACATATGTGTTCTACCGATAGTTTTGTGTTCTTTAACATGTTTGGGGAGGGATGGCCGTGGTGTATCATTTATTCTTTCATTCATTCACATATGTTCTTTTTCTTTTTTTCTTTTTCTTAATTTCTTTCATTCATTCACATAAAATTCTTGCTCTTAATTCAATCATTCATTCATTGTAAAATTCCGACTGATACAATACACTGGCTGAAGTACTGTTAAACGCAGCCGAAGTTGCGCTGGGACCGGACCAAGTCACTGTGTGCGTTGGAGCATGACGAGGCACACGTTAATTAGTACAAATGGTAAAGAAAGCAAGCGAGTGACCTATCCCTGTTGTAGAGTATCCCTGATTAAAGTGAATTAAAGTGTGTGCTTTAAGAAACCTCTATCAGTGCGACATTTCTTTTGTGGTTCAGTATACGTTTTGGCTTTTAGAAGTCATGAGGATATATAGCTGGAATATTGATAAGTGCGGCAAAAACCTAAACTCTGACATGACTGCATTGTCGCGCAGTGGGGTCGCGACGGCAATTGTGGCTCAACCATCATGTTTCAAATGATGTTTCAAATGTTACTCACTACTAAAAATTACTCGGCATCCTGAGCGAAAATGAATGAAAAAAAACCGCAATAAATGTCAACAGCACTGCTAAGAAACGTCACTGAAATATGAACATGAATTTGAAGTCCTGAGTTGGTCACGAAATGAAAACATCTTTGTAGAGGAAAGAGACCCTGTCCATTGTCATCACGCTGGGCAATACTTGTTTCGACGGCTGGGTGGACCCCAGGGCCCACTTTACTTGCACAGAGCGATCCTGTCGCTGCGACTATCTTAAGCCTGTATATGTTGGAGATTGGGAGTTACAATCACTGCAGCGCTAAGATCGCTTTGTACAAGTTTGTCCAGGGAATAACGTACATTCAATGTGTTCTTGAAGTTTTGACAATTCTGTTTAATCAACTCAAGAAACTGATATTGACCGACAGCAGCAGCCTGATTAGAAAATCGTCTTTTTTTCAACTTCAAGTAACTCAGTCTTTCACAGTGAAGCGTCTAACGAATCAAATCAATGTGACCAAATTTATTGAAAGGACCGCTTCGATGACAGAGAACACCTTTGGAAAGGAGAAACTCCACTACAACGCATGCTACCGGTTCAAATGTTAATGGCCGAAGTTGATCCGAAGGGCGCTGCCAGGAGCGTTACTCATCTCTTGACAACGAACTGACGAAGGATTTCGTGTTTGTTGTGCGAATTGTGGGTACAACAGAAGAAACAGACTGGTAAAACAAGGTTTGTATACAAGTCATCTAAATCGCAAAGTTGTTGCAAGATTTTTTGTTTTCTTTTATCCATAGTCTTAAACTTGTTAAGTAGTTGAAGCTGACGCCAGGGACACCTTTACTGGACGATGTCCTTGGTTACCACTCCATTTACGAGATCAACACAAATAAAATTAGAATCGAAATGAAATACCCAAAAGAAGTATTTTTATATGTCTCGATCATCGTGCATGGTTCTTTGAATATATATAAGATCTCTTCTGATATGTGTATTGCTCAGTGACTTAATATTTTGTGGCCATAATTTAAAAAGTAGATCGCATTCTTATATCAGTGTATCCATTATTACTTTCAACATTAGTTTTTGTTAGTTCAGCCAGCTAAACGTCTTGTTCCTACCAAGGTATATACCGACACCTTGGTAGGAACAAGGCGTTTAGCTGGCTCAACTATTTTTTGTTAACTCAGCAAATACAAAATATATGGACTCCAAATATCCATTAATTAATATCTTTAATTCATATCGTTATTCAAGTTCTGTCAATTGGAGCGGTCACACTCCTTTACTACAATGGCTGGTTCAAGTTTTTCATAATTGATATTTTGATCATTAATTACGCTTCACAACACCTGAAGTATAGTTAAGCTGTCTGTGTGACTGCACATCAAAGCAATGTTTGTTTGACATGATTTCCAAGTTACCAGTGAATTGAAAATGCTGATGTAACATTTCAACACATTAATTTGGTTGCTTTAGATAAGTTTAGGTCTTGGGTATTCCCATTTTAATGAGATCTATAATAAGGATTCAGAACTTTATTTCAGTAGTCTTGTCAGCAATAAAGTAAATGTATAAATAAATCAAAGGCAAGATGGCGGACAAGAGGCCACATGAAATTATCTCTCACAAGAAAAATGTCAATTACTCCATTGGAGGAAGGAGTGTGCAGGAACATGAAGAAATGACCTTGGATATATATTTTTTATATTAAAGTATTTCTTTTCCCCATCTGCATGTTATACATCACATTTAAAAACAAATGTAAGTATTGTATGTTACAATGTAGAGTTCTTGCAAGCATGTTATACAACACTTTGCAACAGATACACATATTACTCTTTACAATGTAGTAATCCTGCAAAGTTACAAAGATCATGAATGATATTAATTGCATAGCCGATATAGATAGGAGAGGCTGTAGATTTTTTTTTTATTAAATGTCAAATATATGATTGTTATACAGATTCATCAGGGTTCCATGATATTGAAAAAGGGTGCATGAAAGGAGGACCAAAAGGTATAAAAATATCCTTGGATAATGGTCTTGTGGACTCTGATATATGTCAAAAAGTGAATTCAACTTTCAATCCAATAGACAATGGACTATTATTAAAGACATGACCCAAGACACAATGAGTGAGTTGATTTCAACAGATTTCATACTACGAGAAAAATCGTAGAAACCTTTTTCAATTACCCTGAGGAGATTTTACTTCAAAAACTTATAAATGTACTTGGTGATAATGAGTTTCACGTGGATAGGAGAAAATTATTTCAGTCAGCAAAATCTTTGAATTCTGAAGTGTGCAATTGTGACCTGAAAAAGCATAAAACAATTCGCAATGGTGACTGTTCTTATGAAACTAGCAAGGGATTGCTCAAGTTTGATTCATTTCATGAATGATTTAAACAATATTTATTCATTATTAAATGAACGGATTGGTAAACAGGCTATAAGCCTATAAAAATACCTCTCCAAATACAATGCGATGGGAAACATTTTATATACATTCATCATTACTGACAAGACTGACTGACTGAGTTTAGTTTTACTCCGCTTTTAGCAATATTCCAGTAATATCACGGCGGGGGACACCAGAAATGGGCTTAACACATTGTGCCCATGTGGGGAATCGAACCCGGGTCTTCGGCGTGACGAGCCAACGCTTTAACCACTAGGCTACCCCACCGCCCCATTTCAGACAAGAGAACACACCATTAGAGGAGTAAAAGACTTAATGAAAAAGACAGTAGTATAATTAATCAATTAGGTAAAAAATCGTTTTGTTAAGGTAAAATAGTCATGTACAGATTTTACAATATTTTCATTGATTTCATCAGAATATGAGTAACTTCCACATAGTACAGATTGAATATTAAAACCATTTATGTAATAGAAACACTTCGATCGAATTGTATTAAAATTTGGACAGATAAATAGAAAATGAATGGCATCTTCATAATGATGGTCACAAGTGCAAGTAGACTTATTTTGAAGAAAACGGTCAAATTTATATGCGTTTAAGTCACAACAGCCAAGTCTTAACTTACAATGAATTATTTGATTAAATCTATTACCAGTGTTTCTGAAGACATGATGTGCGTTGGATGAGACAGTTCGATCAAAGTGTTTCTTGAACATGGCAACGGAATCTATGTTTCTTATATCATTATCTAACTTGTTCCACTCCATCACAGAGGATGGTAAAAAAGATTTTTTATATGTTTCCGTACGACATAATGGTACTTGAAGCATATTACTAGATCTAGATCCATATGTGGATACAGAGGATATGTTTATTGGACTTAGATCTGATAAATACTTTGGAGTTTTATTATGGAACATTTTATGAAATGCATACATTTGGTGATTTTTACGACATTCCCTTAATGATGAAAAACCAGTTTCATGGTAGATTTTGGAATGACAAACTCCTCTAACTGATCCACATATGGTTCTTAAAGCATCTAAGTGAAGTTTTTCTAACAATAACTCTTGAGTTTGTGTACAGTTGTTCCAAATATAATCACAATAGTCAAAAAGTGGTAAAACAAATGAACTATACAGGGTTTGGAGGGTTTTCCTCTGAAGGCGGTATTTCAGACTTCTTAAACAATTGATCATAGGACTGACTTTAGAAATAATATCATCTATATGTATATTCCAGTGGCCATCACTTTGTAAAGTCAGCCCCAGATGTTTATGAGTGTCAACAGACATTATTGGTATATCATTCATTATAAGATCTGGCATTGATGTTACTGTTTTCTTTTTAGAAAAAATGATAGATTCAGTTTTATTGGGATTAAAGTTTACTTTCCATGTCTGGGCCCATTTAGCTATTATTTCTAAATCATCGTTTAACATATTGGAAGATACCATAGGGTCATCAATTATCACATATAAGGATGTATCATCGGCAAATAATTTAATATTACTCTGTATATCTTCAACAATATCATTGATATAAACCAAAAAGAGTAAAGGTCCTAGGACTGATCCCTGAGGGACGCCAGCTTCAATTGATTTAACATTTGACTTATACCCATTTATTACTGTAAACTGTTTTCTATTATTTAGATAACTTTCAAACCATATTGAAAGAGATCCGCGAATTCCACTAGCCCATAACTTATGCAAAAGACCCTTGTGCCAAACCCTATCAAACGCTTTACTTATATCGCAGAATACAGCGCGTACCTCCTTGCCACTATCCATCGCCTTAGCTATATAGTCATACAAATGAGTGAACTGGTATGATGTAGAATCACCAGTCGTGAAACCTGACTGTAATGAAGTAATAGTTCCATTATCTAGAAAAAAATTTGACACATATTTAAAAACACACTTCTCAAAAACTTTTGAAAGACAACTAGCAGAGGTACAGATAAGCTGCATATCTGCGTAAATTACGCAAATATTTATGTGAAAACTCAATTCCTATTAAGTCTATTGCGTACAAGTACGCTTCAATTTTTGTAAATCCTCAATAGATTTGATGTTACATGCGTACAAACAAAATAGATAAAATAACTGAGGTATATTGAGAGTTTCTATTTCAGCACCTGGACTTGGCAACTTGCAGTCATTCTTGTCGTTTATCATATAACAGATCAAATATAAATAACAAACACGTAAACCAACATTTAAACTTTAATATATTTTTACAATTAATGGAAAATGGCAAAATACCCAATTGCGCTTGAGTGAGGTGGGTAAAATATATTTGGTTACTCAAAGGAAAATTAGGATACCCAATTAAGATGAACACAAGCGAGTACATAACTCAATGACCCAAAAGGTTATCTGTAGCTCTGAACTAGTAAATGAAACCGGTCGATAATTAGTATAATCATGAACATTATTTTTCTTATAAATTGGAACAACGGATGAACATTTCCATATATCTGGAAATTGAGAAGAGGACAAAGAAATATCAAACAGGTTACAAAGTGGAATGGACAATTGTTCAGCTAAACATTGTAAGACACGATTGCTAAGATGATCTGGACCAGTTGCTTTAGTGACATCAAGCGACAGTAAAATATCCCTTACTTCAACACTTTGTAATCTTATATCAGTGAGACAATTTTCCACGTTAATATCAGAATATTACATTAACATCATCAGAAGAACTGTTAACCGCTGCCATACTCACAAAGTAGTCATTAAAAATATTTGCTTTCTCAATATCATCTTCATAAACAACACCATTGTGTTCAATGTGTGGAAATATCTTAGCTTTATCTGTTTGTCTGTTTAACATTTTATGAATGGTGAATCCTTTGAAGAAATTAAGGATTTAGTATTTAATAAACAATGATCTACAGCTGTAAACAAAGATTCAAACACAACACAAAGAAGCAGCTCAGTGCATCTAGACAATGGATTATGCGAGCCCTAATGTTTTGAAGACAATAGAGACACATACAGCACCTGTACAGAGCACGCGTCTTGCAGGGGCCAGATCGCTGAAAATGAAGCGATCAATTACAGAGATATGTAACAACACTGCCTTGCTGAAAGTGCACTGTCAAAATAATTCTTATTCAATCAAGCAAGTCAAGTATGAAGTTGAAACAGTGCATTCTCGTCATGAAGCCTTACAGAATGACATAAGAAAACTTGACTCTTAAGTGCACAAAGCAGGCTGGTTCTTCCTTAGTGGAATAGCTCCAGATGTCAAACCAGACAATATTGCCAAATACCTTTCCACTTGTGGTGTAAA